GAATCGTATCTAAGATCTGCGGACGGCATAGTGTTAACATTCGTCCCGACGATGGGAAAATGGCACGTTCGCTTCTGCGATAAAACCTCGAATTTCGAGCAACAGCGACTCGCGTATCTTCTGCAACCAACGAATTCTGTTAACCGAGATGCTACGTCGTTCGAAACGCAATAACTTTCTGGAAACTGGAGTAAGTGACTTGAATTTCTTTTTAGACGATAGAGGGACTAGTCTGTTGGACGACGGCTAAAATGCCTTTTCTTAATTTTGCTATTACTTGGGATGATAAAAAAAGAAAAAAAACTCTCGTTTTTTTAACTCTTATCTGATCCGGGCCTATAAGAAGAATTTTAAAAAAGCCTTTCGTGGATAACCGAGATCGACGAGGGGCATTTTTTAAATTTCCGTTATAGGCTCGGATAAAAAAGGTTAAAAAAACGAGAGTTTTTTATTTTTTATTTCTGTCATTCCAAGTAATAGCAAAATTAAGGAACGACATTTTGGTCGTCGTTTAGTAGAACAGTTCTGCAATCATCTAAACAAAATTCAAGTCGCTTAGCCCAGTTCTAAAAAAGGAATTGCTTTTTAAGAGGTATACGGTCAATTTTGTGAGTAACTATAACTATGAGAGCACTAATAAATATAATAAAGCAGATAGAATTATTTAAGACGAATAATTTAATAATCGTTATTCGAATAAAATATTTAACCAAAAAGAGAATCCAATCGAATAATTATGTTAGAAACAAATTTATTCGAATAATCATCTTAGATAAATATTTATTCGAAACAATTCGAGAATAATGTCCAACTCTCGTTTTCAGGCATTTCGCGACGAATCCTGGTCTCTGCTTTCAAACAGTCTCCATGATCTCAGTGAACTTCCAGGTAAAACAATTCACAATTAATGCCCGCGTCGCTGCGCAATGTTCCTGCATGAAAATAGGAAAGTTAGGAAGTGGTGATTGGAATACAACAGGTCCGTTTCCGGGAGTGACAAACTACTGTCGTCATTGTCAGCGTAATTCATAAGAGTTTTCACTTTCCCACGCAGCGTGCACAACTATGATCCACGTAACGCAGCTGCAGCTTCGACTGAAATCCTATAAATATGCTTGAGATATGCCACTTACTTTCGTAAAGTTATCCATACATAGAATGCTGGGATAAACAGATATTTGGACGATTCGATAAATCCCGAAGCTTTGCTGCTTCATAGATACAGCAAGACAGCAAATTATGTATCAAGATCTGGATTGTCTCCGTTAGTCGACCATGCTTAATACTTAACGCTAGAAGTACTGTCAACGTGTTGGACTTTGTAAATCTCGGAACTGGGTCCAATAAATACGAAGAATGCTTTATTTCTCTGTTTTTCCATTTGTCTATTCTACTTGTATCGAATAATCTTCTAGGTTAGAGCAACAAATATTTTAACACTCGAACGGTGGATTAATTTGACATAAAAAATTGAGCCGAGTAAGCTTGGTATTGTTTATTATTTTGTCAAATTTTCTTTTTCTTCATCAACTAGAACTTTGAATAGACTTTAACCCGAGAAAGATAACCTACGTCGCAGAGGCGCCTGCGAAATAAACGACTGACTGCACCGTTTTTATAGAGGTCTAGTGATTTAAGTTTAAAATTACTTAAAATATAAAAAAATATAATATAAATGCATTTTATTTTTACAATAATGCCAAACCTTTAAAACGACTTAAATAAATATCCATTGTTAGTATAAAATTGACGCCTTAGAAAAGCATGCGCCTCTGAAGCGTATGGTTATCTTTTACGTACGTTGTCATATGGTTATCTTTCTAGGGTTAATGAGATATACATGTATATGAAAATTGAAATTAAACGTCGGAAACTAATATTTAAATAGTTATTCGATTAATATTCTATTAATATTAAATATAGTCAAACAATAATATTCGTGTACCGAATGCAAACGGACGCGGTTCGAGCGTTAACGTAACAAATAGAAAAGTACTCGATACTAGGAGATGGAAGTTCTTGTTCCAGCAAATCGGTAAATAGCGAGCTAATTTGATTCGAGAACAATTGCAAAAAGAAATTGCAACGATAAATGAACTCGTTGCCAAGACTTGTCGAGAACATTACGATTTCGTCGATTACAAAATAGACAATCAGAAATTGATATTGGCGCAGTAGTTCTAGTATTAATACGCGTGTTAAGTGACGACTAGACCGCGGAACGTCGTCAATTACGAATTTAACGGTTCAATTTCAATTTCATTGGTATTTGCACGACGTTCCGCAGTTTATCGACGATATGGCAAGCAAACCACCGTGATCACGGTGGGACACACACGTGGGTCGTTCGAGGACGCGTGAATCGCTTGGCTCGGGGTGAGAGGAGACGGACAATTAATGGTAATTAATATAATTAAGCTTGCGGTGAAAGAGGAATGGCTGAGTCCAGCGCGCACACACCATTACCGTAACGAGCCCACGTATCACAGTAACGAAGAAACAAAGAGCACAAATTAAGACGATTGGAAATGCGACGAAAATCGGCGTCTTGGAAATCGTTCGGAGCGCGCCGGTGGCTTCGAGGTCAAGGCCATCGGTGCGCTTCGGCCGCGTTTCCTTGAGTTATTGTTACAAGATCAGCGGATATTAAACAGACAACAATTAATGGTATTACTGATACGTTATTAATGATTACACACAAAGGGGGAAAAGATCGATCGAGGCGAGCGCGAGAGCGCAACGATCATTCGTGCCGTTAGTCAGCGGCTGGGCCTTGATTAAATGTGTTATACATCGATATCGAGAGCTCGAGCTTGGAACAGTTAGATAGAAGTTAAGCGGAACACGTCGCGAACCGACATCGTTGCTTGACTTTTCGCTTATTGGCACAACAGGTGTTTCCTCGCGTGCACCAACTTGCTGGTATTACCTCTAATGGAATTAATGTGCCTTTTAGAAGCACGTGGCACGGTATCGTCCGATGCGCGGTGGCAAAAATCATTCCATTTTAACGAACCAAATACCTTGATAAAGTCTTGAAAATTATTATCAATTTTTTGAAGAATTGTCTGCGAGATTAGCTGACGCGAGGCGTCCGAGCCAACGGGAGGCCGAAGCCCAGTTCCGTTCGTTGGCTCAGCCGTCCGCGTCAGCCGAGCTCGCCTCTAATGAGAGTGACCAATGGGTCACTGTTTTTCATTAATAACTCGTAAACAAAGCCGCGGATTGCATTTTCGTTAAGGGAAAAGTTACTTCGAACGACCTCGAGAATCACCCCTTTCCGGGTGTTAACGTAATTATGGGACATCCTGTGTAACGCGAATGAATGTAAAAATTGTTTATCTATACTAACAAAACAGTTTATAGGCACAGACTTTGAGAAATTATTCTAGAAACCTCGATAAAGATCACGAACAAGAATTTTCGAGTAATTTTGACGTTGCAAACGCAGCTCCGTCAGACTTTGTATGCTAAGTATACCTCCGCGCGAAGATTTCTGATAATTTTTCTGAAGCTGGGAGTTTCGCAGATTCAGATCTTCTGACAGCGCGAGATTCTCGGTGCGAAACTAGAGAGAGGCCCGGTACAAATAATTTTCATAATCTGAGATCGCTCTAGGACCTGGCCATATTTTTTCTGGAACACAAGACCGCGTGTCTTCGTTGCAATCGTTCTCGTAATCTCGCATTTTCTCCTCTCTCGAGGTCACCGGTTTGGACTGAAGCATGATACTCGAACTGTAGCACCGTTCTCATGGCGTTGCGAAATGTTGTTGCAAAACGGACTGGCAAAATTCAAATTTTCGTAGCTACACTTTCGACGTGAGCGACTTTCTCTTTTCAAAACAGTTTCAAAAATCAATTTTTATAATTGCTTTAATTATTGTCACGGATTTTCACGGTTACGAAAACTCGACGTAAGTAAAATAATCGAAAAATATTAAATCAATATTTTATTCGCTGTAGGGTAGCGGAGCTAGTTACTGCTGGATAGAAAATTACTCTGCTTTTCGTCTATTCGCAAGCACAATTAACTTTGTATCTATCGAATACGATACATTAAATTTTCTATTTAAATTCAATTAGGTATTTGTTCGTTAAACTCAGACATATATAAGACGGAAGTTCGTGTGAAATACCATAAAAATAATTATTTATTTGAATTGTTGGTTTTAGTTTCAATTTCAGTGTCAATTACTACAAAATGGACTTGAAGTCTTAAATCGTCTTTGTTATATTTAAAAATTTATCGAACATCAATTTTTAAATATTTTGAAATTTACCTCTAACTTCTTAAGAAATGTCTAGGTTAAATTGCTAAAGTTGTTTTTAATAGCGATAACTCCCGAAGTCCGTCAACAGGACACAGTAACTGGTTCCTCTATCCTACTTAATTGTATATATTTTATATTTTAACAAATCTTCGAAAACATAATCTAACAACCACGTTCACTATCCTTATTTAATGGTAAAAGCAGGTAGCAATCAAAGTGAGAGTGCGAATTTTTCCGGCAGCGCGTGCACGAATTTAATAGCTGCCAACAAAAACGCTGCATGTTTTGTATAATTGTGAAACGCGGAATGTAATTCCAACGACGAAAGAAAATAATTAAATTCTTTTTAGCCGTGGAGCAATCATCGCGGAGTCTATGAAAAGAAAATGATATTCTTACCGCGCCAACGTTCCCATTTCAATCTCAATCACTTTGGCTACTTCCTCGAACGCGAATGGAGCGATATTCAAACAAGAAGATTCAAATGATACGATAAACGTGCTCAAATATCGTTAGATAAGAACAGGAAATGCAGGCCTCGATCAATTTCTGCGGAACAGAGGCAAGAACCGCGAAAGTCAAGCAACGATAATAAGCCCGACTCGGCGTTCTCTATTTCTCGCGCGCGCTCTCCCTCTCCCTTTCTCTCTCTCTCTCTCTTTCTCTCTCTCTCGCTCTAGCACTCGCGGGTGTTCTTTGCTCATATGGTGTGATTGCCTGGACTCACCGATCCTCTTGACGTGGACGTCTCGATTGAAGGAGACGGTTCTCTCAGCGGGCTTCCACCCGGAGACGGAAGCCCCGGTCGAGTCGGGGGGTAGTAAATCGGCGGTGGGGGCGTTGGAGGCTTCCTCCTCTCTTAAAAAGTCCGAGCGCTGAACCTCGAGCATCTTTCCGGCCTTTTCCTCCCAACCATAACACACTTCCCCCCGTTTCGCTTTTCTCCTTCTCGTTCGGCACCCTCTCGCCTCGCTACCCCCGACAAACCGACTTCCGTCACTCAACCACGGCCTCTAATTGCGTCAACCTTTCGCTCTATCGCTCCCCTCGCCTTCACTCTTCCCGATCACACCGCTAGACCCGATCACCAACCAACCTGTAAGCCAAGCAAAGCTGCGCTCTTAGTATATCAGATCACCGAGTCGAGCAGATTTTCAGATTTATGCTCTACACGGTCCGCGTCGCAGTCAGTCGCTAATGTACCCGAATGCCAAGCGATCTCAATTTCGTTGAGACATTAGAGGGATTAGTTTTCTAGACAATATGGCTAAAAAATTGTCGAGAATTGCGATCGATTGGAATTATACAAAAATTATGTTCTTTCAACTTTTTTATCCGAGCCTCTAAAATTATCTAAAACTAGATATATTAAGCTAAGTTTAAGCATATATAAAATTGGATGTGAAAATGCTATTCATATTTTAGAACATTGTTGAGAAATAATATTATCGTCGCATACGTAATCGTTGTAAAAAAAGTATTTGTTGGAATAATAGGTGTTTCTAAGCAAAAACATGCCGTTCCATATTGTGTACTTGAATTTTTCGCTGTCTCTATTATGGAACAGTTCGCATCTGTTTTACATGCAATGTTTCTATTTTGAAACGAGCGTTCCAAAATACAAACGTTGAATATGAAACACGGGAACATGGTACGAAAACACAGAATTTCGTAATAGGTATACACACGTACTTTACTATTTTATTATTACTTTTTATACGTATTAAATAAATATTTCAAAGTTCATTACGTTATCTAGAAACATCGATCTGTCGAACGGTAACATAAATAAAAAATAACACTTTCAAGTTGCGATAAAATAGATGATAATCTTGTGCCCCGGAAAAAGCATTAGATAATTTGTACCTTAATAAGAATTTAAATAATTTTACTAAAATATTAATCTATAAAATGCAATTTATAAATTTTCGTTATAAGCTCGGATAAAAAATTTGAAAACCATTTTTTTATCGTGGTACTATTCGTTCGGAATTCCTTCCGCAAATTAATAAATATTATAAATTTATAAATGATAAAAATTTGTGATATGTTTGTGCTTTATTTACAAATTCCGGGTACATTTTTTTGCATAATGCAGTGTTTGTTTTGTCGAGCTGTGTTTTTCACAGTTTTGTGCCGTGCTTGGAAGCGTGTGCGCGTTCATACATGTACAGGGTGGACACGAAAATGCGGAAATTCGGTTCGCTGGGTTTTGGTGCTCGCATCGATTCTAAGTTGTGCGATTAAAAAATCATTACCTTTTACCCTCTGTGGAGTGTTCTCGTTTAAATTCGACCACAATCAACATTGAATTCTGTCATACAAGCTGTTGATATTTAATTAATTCATACATTTTAACGATATAAATTATAATGAAGAGAAACGGTCTGGTTTTAGGAGAATCATTTGCTTTTTACTTTTAAAATGTCTGAAATGTACAAACATAATTTACAAAAATTTTTATCGAGATAGTAACACGAGTGTATTGAAGGTAACATGCCATTTGACGTCATACAGAGCTAAATGGCTAAGAAACTTTGTCATTAATCTCTTTCGCTATGGGGAACATGAAAGTTGGAAAATGTTTCTGTGCTAGCGATAAGTGTTCCATTTTATTTCGAGATAATGACTTGCTCGGAAAACTTTCTTGGAAGTCATTTTTCACTCTAACTAGGCAATTTTCTACCATTTTGCCGTGATTTATCTGTAGAAAATAGAGAAATGTACGTTGAATTCTTGTTCGCTATCAGCAACATACGTTTCCTTAGAAATAATATTAGAAAGATTATACAAATTCATTGGTTCACGTTCCGATTGATAGAACAGAAAATCGAATAAAATTTCACTGTTCAATTTTGATAAAATGGTAATTGGTAAAATCCAATGTTTTCAAGCTTATTATAGGAAAGGATGTAACAATTGATATGAAAATATAAAAAATAGTAAAAATTTATTTGCAAATTTCAATAAAATTTGTCTTCCATAAAATGTTAATTAACGTTCAATGATTCGAGTTTTTATACGAATACGAAAGATTTACATCGGTCGATTCATTATTTTAATAAAATCGTACTTACTCCGATGTGTCAAGTAGCGGTTGAATCTCATTTGAATTATGGCAGAAAATGCAATTAGATTAAAAGAAGGTAGGATAAATCGGTAGGTGACTTGAAAATTATACGAGCGATATAATTAATTTGCAATAAAAATTGTCACAAATAGCGAACATGCGAATTCATTGACCGATTCGAGTATCCGAACAGTTCTCTTTTCATATACAATTTACAAATTAATACGACGATGAAATGCAAGAAGATGAACGATGAAAGGAGGAAATAGACTGCATTTTTTCCGGGGCTGTGTGTTCGAAATCGACTCGGATTTTTCTCGAATCGCAGCAGGATCGACCAGTGACAAGAGTGTTTTCGCGTGTTCGCGCGACAAAGACGCGTTGTGTTCCCGGCATCGGCGAGGCTGCGCATGTGCATGTGCCCCGACAATGATCGCGATGAACGCGACGGGGTGATAATGGTCCCCATTGTCGTCATGCAACCCGATGAGACGCTCGAGATACGTGCAAACGGTCTATTGACAGTTGCCGGGATGACGATGACGGTGCGGAATAGTGACAATGACTTCGTGATCGTGCGATAAGCTACCTCGTATTTTCTTATTTTACCCCATCTTTCGTAAAGCGTCATGCAAAGCTATAATCTCGGATTCCGAGCATGACGTTGGTACATCCTCTTATCGATTCTTTAATCGGAACGCAACCCTCCGGGATCTCGTTGCACGGTCCGCTGCGGTTTCGAACTGTCCGTGAAACTTTTCATAAAGAACAATGCCTTGATTTTTCATTGATCGAGTCCAAGGCGGAGCGTCTATTCTTACAATTAGCTATACTCTGTGGAACGGAAGAACTGGACCGCGGCGAATTCTGAAGCGAAAGATAATCAAATTTCAACTTCGTCCGAATTTATTCCAAAGATAAAGCGGTATTCGTCTTTCTTTAAAGTTCCTACAACTTTTATCTTGGCCAGTTGAATTTTCTATATCAAATAGAATATTCTCTCGAATCCTCGTCCCTTTCTCGTGAAAATTCGACACTGTTTTCGAGTTACAGAATATATTACTGTGCTATTTTTAGAAAAATTGATTTCAAACTTGCAAAGTAAAGATGTGACGATATTTTATACTTTTTTATTACATCTTCGTGTGTCAATTCGACGCACAGGAATCTCACGAGCAGGAGAAGACACGTCGCTTCTTCCTTTGTCAACGGAATACCTTGAACTATAGGGAACTCGAATCTAATACTTCGGAAGAATTTTGAATGCACGCGAGCGATAACAAGCGAGTGAAAATCTGAAGGATGAGCGACGGTAAAGGACGGGATGAATACAGTAGTGATTTTGCTATACGTCTTAACGCAAATGTATGGCTCTCGCGCGACAAGAGGGCACCTCTGTGTTTACATTCCCCCTCTTACCAGCTGCCCCACTGCCGCAGCTGGTAAGAGGGGAAACGTAAACACGGAGGTGCCTTCTTGTCGCGCGAGGACTATACATAGCGCGCGCTGCTATAAATGTAAACAAGAAGTTTGTCCGGCACACCGTTTCGTTCTATGCGAAAAATATGAAGAGAAAAAATAAAAATACTACGATAATCAGAGAGCGTCAACATATTACTTTCGTTCTAATAAACTTGTTACAGAAAGGAAGCTATTTCGATTCTTGTGTTCGGCACTCGCGTTTTGCAACAGCTGCAGAACATTTTTCTCTCGCATAAAAATCCTCGGTCCGATGATCACGTAGCAAGCATACTCGATCAAACTTCATTGTTTCGCGGTAGCGACCCTGAAACTTGATTACTAAAACTTCAATCGAATTCGTAAGGGTATATAATTAAACTTGATCCCGATCCCTACATTTTTGGCAAAAAAAGCTGCTGCTTCTCGCAGCGACCTTGGAGTACGAAGCTGCAAGCAGCCCGAGAGAACCGGGGTATGCAGATAACGAATTAACGTGACAATTACACGAATGGTTCTGACGGATAAAAAGATCGCTCGGATCGATACAACGTTTCTTTAATAAGAAGGTAAGGACTATTCGCTAGCGTGACTCGCAAATTCGCGTAGTATATTAAGATTTGCATACTGTCGCGTACTAAGTGTTCGTCTACTTATGAGCGTTAATGTAGATCCGATCGGAACCGCAGTCAGCGTTTTACGAAGCGGCGTTCCGTAAAAACGTCTCTGAAAGCACCGCTGACGTCGGGATCGGGCTCGGCGCGGCACTTCTGGCTAATGAAACCCACACGACCTCCGATTATCATTCGGGAATGCGAGGAGGACTCTCGCCAGCTCGATCCTCTCCGCGGAATCGCCTTCGCTCTGCCAAAGAGGCAGAGCCCGGGAGAGAGAAAGAAAAAGAGAGAGAGAGGAAGAGAGAGAGAGGGAGTCAGACAGAGAGAGAGAGGGAGAGAGAGAGAGAGAGAGACCGTATGGGATCCGTCGCGCGTGATTTCAGATTCACCGCGCGTTTCCCGAGTATCCGCGAGGGATCTCGGTCGCCCTTCGAAGGAGCAGCGGTGACCTCGTCTCTCCTTCATCTCTCAAGGCCATCTAATCGCGACACGTCCGTTTCGAGCACGTACCAAAGGGTAAGTCCCTGTCGCTCAACGACTTTATTAGCCCTTAGGCGGAAGGGACGGGGCGAGCATGCCAACTTCAAATGAGACAATTCGCATGATCGCGATCGGCGGGCTCGCCCGTACAAGGAAGACCTTTAACGACTGCCTGGATCGTGTCTAGGACATTCCGCCTCTTATTCGGCCATTTTTCTAGCTGCGTTTAGAGACAAACCGGAGTCCGAGCATCATGAGAACGCTGAACATTGCGGAGGATTGGTTATACGGTTCGAAATAATACCGCGTACGATGCTGGTAACGGTTTATTGGAGGCTGAAGAGCATTTTTCGAGCTGAATAGAAAATACATGGTAACGTTTGTTCAACGCGCGGATGATACCGATACGGAGGAAGATGGGTTTACTTGAAAATTGCTGCACGATATTGTAGTTGCATGCTAGGAAGTGTT